AGATTACATCCTGATGGCTGTGCACTGGGCGTTTTGCCTGTTCTAAAAGATCAAGGGACTTCTATGCATTCTTCCAGATATAAAATTCCACCCCTACCACTCTGGAAAAAAATTAAAAATCACTCTTCCTATGAAGCTTTTACCAAACCAGCTAGATAGGATTAGTCTTTAAGTCTGTCATTCCTTTAACACTGAATTTGTACTTTAACAAAGGATTTTGGATAATTGAACTTGCCTTGCAGTTATTGGTGATATGTTTGTATTACCCCCACTTGATGATAAGGTTTTCAAAGTCAAGGATTCTTTATTACTCATTTACTGTCCAGAGGACCAGCCTGACAACTTTGTCGTTGCAGCTGTACATTAATCGCTCGTTAACTTGAATGTGGAGCCAGATGGCCATCTAAAAGGAGAGGTGTAAAACATGTTCACTAGTCATAACAGGAGCCTCCACAGAATTCCCCTGGTTCCTGGAACATAAGGTGTGGACTTTTATGGTACTCCTGGGCAAGAGGCCCAGAATGTGATTAGATATTGAAATCAGAGAAGTGAAAAAGATAAATCTTGCACACAGTCCTTGTTTTCACTTAGAAAGGACACTCCATCTCACTCCTGTCTGCATCAGTGCTCTTAGGGTATTATCCTCATCCAGAGCTCAATTCACTTCCTCTTTTAGGAAGCTTTCAGCTCGGCCTCCAAAGTCAACCTGTCTGGTTTAAGTTCTGGGTGTGTTATGCACTACTAACCATAACCTTGAGCAAGTTATTGAACTTCTCTATGCCTTAGTTTTCCCCATCCAAGAAATGGGTGTAACAATATTCCTGGTTTTCCAGGCTGTAGCAGGATTCAGTAGTGTGTGCTCACTGAATGTTAGTCATGATTAGCACTCCCTTCCATCACCATCTGTTTCCTGTCTAACTCCTTCTATCATCACACAGTTTGGTAGGTAATTTTCTTTAATTTTTCTTATAGAGGAATGTTACTTAGCCCCAGTCATTTTTCTGGCCGTCTCACCTATCCAGGACACACTTGAAAACTAAAGGCATGCAACTGACCAATACCACCAATGCCACCATCAAGATAACCGAGCACCCAAATCAATATCACAGAACCCCTGAACTGAAAACGAATGAACTTGACTCATAAAATCTCTTATGCCCACACTCATGGCCTATGAACTCTTAGTGTCTGTACAGTTAGAACAAGCTGCATCATCTGCTTTCTCCGCCCACAGCATAAGCAAAAGCAGTCCAGGAGCATTCGAGGGGTAATAGTCCTCCATGTCTCAGTACTCCTTAGGAAATACTTAACGAGTGTGGTGAAATAACGCCCACTGCCATGACACTGGGAAAGAAGGCATGAAAATGTTAACAAATTATAGAAAGACTGTGATTAACATGATTTTAAAATTAAACTTTTAGAGTAGTGCCTGCTCAAACGAGAGCACGTAAACAAGAAATCATGGTATGCTCATCTTTCTCTTCTTTACCATGCCATAGCTCTTGTTAAAGAGTTTTAGAGCTTGCATTTCTTTTGCATCCTCATAGCAGCTCCTAAGTCAATATTGACTCTTCTTAGAAACCCATTAAGTGTTGGGAAAACAGCTTACATTTAAAAGGCCCATGGCTTGGTTTTTAAGTTAATTGGATCTGACCTCATACCAAAAGTTAAAAAAAAGTTACCAGAATCATTGATGTGAATATTTTATTTGAAGATGTTATCAAAATAGAATAATGCTTATGAACAAGGCTAATGTGAATTGTTCCCCTCTGGGAGGTCTAAGCACTCTAGAGCAGCGCTGTTCACTAGAACTTTCTGTGATGATAGAAATAGTCTATATTTGTGCTGTGTAATACTGTACCACTTGCCACATAGGGCTGCTGAACACTTCAAATGTGGCCCGTGCAACTGAGAAACTGAATTTTATTTCATTTTAATGAGCTTAAATTTAAAAAGCCACATGTAGTGGTTATCAGGCAGCATAACCCCAAGCCCAGGTCGGGGAGTGCAAGGTTCACTTAAATCCTTCATTTTCCAGAACCATCCAGCCAGAGTTAATACTAAGAATGGTCCTGAGATCCTGCCAGATACTTGATCATTCAACAAGACAAAGATTTTGTTAGCTCAGACAGTTTAAAGAGCGTTTCCATAAAACACATTTCTTGCATATCCGAAAGCTGAACTTCACCGAACAGCGCTGAGTTACTCCAGGTTCTGAATTGGAAAGGCCTCACCCTTTGGGCCTGTTTATGATGCTTTAAATTCTCCTTATCAGCCTGAGGGAAAGTCACTTGGCACAAGCCCTGAAGAGAAAGGGGGAGAGGGGACTTTTGGTGCTTTTCCTTCTGAGTTTATTAAAGATTTATTGTTGTTCTCTACCTGTTCTCTCCTCTCCTCTCCTCTCCTCTTCTCTCTCTCTCCCTCTCTCTCTTTCTCTCTCTCCCTCTTTCTCCCTCTCTCCCTCCCTCCCTACTTCCCCGCTACATAAGCATACACACACAAACATGTATGTCAGTGTACAGGGATTCACTCTCTAAATAAAGACTAAAGCCTTTCTGAAATCCATGCTCACACATCAGCAGCTTCAAGTCAAGATGGATGGATTTGGCCCTGCACGTTCACTGCATATCTTGCCCGCTGCTATTGAGTTTGTGTCCTTAGCAGAGAGAGCAAAGTGGAAGCAGACTGAATCTCTCTGAGGCCTGGTCTCGAGGCGTGGAGCAGCCATGAGGAAGATGGAGCCGCTGGAGAGGTGGCACCTCCAACTGCCCTACTGAAAAGTTGTGCAAGTGAAGAAAGTGTGTTGGCCTGAGCTGGAGGTGCCACACGGAGCTCGGGGAGCCCAGGCAAGCCTCTTTGTGTTTCTTCCCCAGCAAGACTAAATGAAGAGCTGCACCAAATTCAGGCTTAGGATGTGATGGCCAAGAATAGCGTATAATCCATTCTCGTTATCTCCTTTCCTCCAGAAATATGCCCAGAACAGGGCCATCCCTTGAAAGAACAGCTGGCTCAATCATTCTGCAGACCCAGCCTCACCTTCACGCACGTGCGTCCACCTGGAACCTGGTTGAGGTGAACATTAAGGGCAGCTCTGGAAGGGGGAAGGTCACAGGTGGCATTATGTGCCGAGTCAGTGTAAAGAGGGCCTGTCTCACCCTCTCTGGCTGGTGAAATTATGTAGATATGAGACACAAGCCTGTTTAGCCCTGGCCTACAGGCCTGCCCCCGCCTCTCAGCAAGATGTCCGACAGCTCTTTCAGCCAACTCACAGAAATGGACTCACAGAAATGGGTGCCAAAAAGCTGGCGTCTGGAACAAATGCATCGATTACCAGACTTCTGGGCCAGTTCGTTAGGTCAGCAGCTTTTCTTGGGGCCACTGCCACTGTCAGGAGGAAGGAAGGCCCATTGTTAGGCTGGGACGGAGTAGCTGGCCTCCAGCTCTGGGAAAGGGCGGGCCAAGAGGAATGAAACTAGACCTGGAGGAACGGCCTGAAAAAAAACGATGCTGCCTAAAGCCAAAGCACCAGGTTCCCGTCTCTGCCCTAATGCTTTCCACGCCTCAGCTGCAGGGAAGGCATGGCTTCTTCCAGGCCCTGGTTCTGACACTCCCCCGGGCAGAGAGCAAGGAGTGAAAAACAGGCCTCTCCTCTCAGCAACAGGGTACTTTTCTGGAGGGGAGTAAAGGAGTGACATTCATCAGACTCTTCCAGAAGGATTGAACACTACAGAGCTCTCCCCTGGGAAAAACCCATCTGCATAATAGGCGTTCTGCAGCCTCTCCGGAAATGCGCGTCTCTCCACACCACCCCAGGGATGCTCCCCAATGTGTCCTCCCTGGCCCACCTGCAGGCAGATCACCTGGGAGTGCTCATTAGAATGCAGACTCCAGGGCCCCACACCAGACCCACTGAATCAGAATCTTTGGGTTGGGTGGGGGTGGCGGGGGATACCTTGGAATGTGCCCTGAGACTTCCTCGTGGGGACAAACACCTAATGTGGGAACCTTAGAACAGGATTCTCATAACAAGTACCCCAGCTGACTCAGCTGTAGACAGATGGTTCTGGGACTCAGGAGGCCCGGAAGCAGAGGCGCTGCCCGCATAGTGGCGGACTGGGAAAAACAGGGGCTGGGAGCCAGGGGTCCTGTGCTCTCCTCTCAGCATATCCCTGAGCACGTTGGTAAGTTAACCCCTTCGTCTTCAGGCGCTTCTTCGACTCTGAGAAGGCTGGTAGCTAAGTTTTGTCCATCTGTGTCATTTGAGCTTCTGTCGGCATTGCCATGGAGACTTCTGAGCGAAACAGCAGCAGGACCTTTGGGCTTCAAAGCAGTGTATCCACCCACATTGTTGGTTGTTAGATAGTTTTATCTCAATGGTGTTTTTAGTACCTTCACTGAAGTGGCTCAGTCTCTCTTACTTGTGAAGGTTTAAGATATATATATTTTTTTCTATACTTCTATTTAGTTTTTATTATAAAAGTGACATAGTCTCATTGCAAATAAAAAAAAAAGAAAAGAAAAGAAGGAAAACTCAAACATAGAAATGTTTCCCTCCCATGGCCAACCCCAGTCATACTTCTCAGAAATGATTCTTATTAACAATTTTGATGCATGTTCTTCTAGACTTAAAAAGAAAGTATTGTCAGAGCAGCAGCAGCATAACTAACATTTATCAAGTACTTACTATGCATCAGGCAATGTGTTATGCGCTGTACATACATCATCGTTTTAAGCCTCACCACAACCCTGTAAGGTGGGGAATTCTCTCTCTAATTAAGGCTGGGGAAATTTTACGTACACCCATACAAATAATTTCTTTTTACAAAAAAATAGGACAATGTTATACCTACTGTACGTGCTTCTCTCACTCTTAATATAGTGTGAACGTCTCCCCATACCATACATGGCAAAGCTTGAAACATCGTCAGAGTGTGCCATTACATGAAGTCATCCTCATTAAGCAATTTCCAAAGGATTTTCTTTTATTACAAACAGTGCTACAGTGAACATTTTTCACAGATATACTTGTGCACGTGTGTGAGTAATTCTGCAGGATAAATTTCTAGAAGTAGAAACCGTAGGTAAACACACATATGTCAAATCATTGTGTTTTACACCTTAAACTAATACAATGTTATATGTCAATTACGTCTCAGTAAAACAGAGGGTGGTGGGGAGGGTGAAGAAACGGTGGCAGGAGCAGAGTCTTAACTCCAACCCAGTTTAAAAAACAAACAAACAAATAAACAAAACAGTAGGTCTAATAGGGCATATGAATGAGAAGTTTAAATACTTTCTGCACAATCTGGATAACAGAAAATTAACTGTCTCCTCTATGTGCTGAAGGTTTTTTCAAATCTGAATCCAAACATAGTGTGAGGATCAGAACATTTGTTTCTCAGGGCTGCTTTTAGATTCTTGGTTCTGCCACTAAACAGCTGTGAAACTGGGAGCCATCAAGAAAGTATATCATTAAACATTTGAGGCCTTGATTTCGTCCCATGCAAAATGACACCATGGTACGATCTTTTGAAACTCCCTTTTGCGCTAACATTCCTGAATTTGATGAATCCTTTAGCTCTCTGCCTTGGTTTTCCTAGTTATGAAAAAGGATTTAATGTTTTTGGTCTTCCAGGATCGATTAGCGAATGCATCGGTTAGGTAAGAATTTCCAAACTCAGAAGTGCAAAGTAGTTCTCTTATTCCCTGTAGAGCATGCAGAGCTTTGCTGGGAGTGACGCAAAACTGCTTTGATTTGTAAAATAGTTACGGGGTCTTTAAGAAAGCCAGATAATCATTGAATCCAAGAGGCCACACTGTATCGGGATTCTGGACTATGAGCATGAAGATTAGCGGGTGTTTGCGAAGGCTGATATGGTATCAGATATTTCTCGGGAATCTCGCCTTCCTGGAATGAATGTTTCCCACTGTAGGTTCCCTAATGAAGTAGGGGTTGGGTGGACCATGACCTGACAGAACACACAGCATGTTTTTCAGATGAGCGACTTGCCCAATCCCAGTCTGTGGTGCTTGGGACAAAGTCTGAGATAAGGCCTTACATTTTCCCTGTGTTCCATGGTCATTGGCCCACTCGGCCCTCTCCACATCCCTGAAGCAGTAGCCAGAGAAGACACAGTTACCCCAATGTTAAGACGTGGATGCGGAAATTCAGAGCGGTGTGCTGACTTGCCTCATATCACCCAGCACAAAGTGGCAGAGCCCAGCACAGAGTCCAGGTCCCATGATCATCCCATCAGAGGGTCCCATCATGTGACTCTCCAGTTCTTTTCTGCTGACCCTTTTTAATGGCTGGACTCCTCTTCAGTGTTTCCAGTTTAGGCGTATCCAGTTGAAAAGGTACACCATCTTGGTATTTTAAGGGGCACGTACAGGTCATAGTGTGGAATTTCTCTGAATTTGGGATCCGGCCGATGGTGAGTTTTACTGTCTAAAACACAAGAAAGAAGAAAATTGTATGACTAAAAATTACCCTTAAGATTGTTTGTTCTCAGTCTATTCTCATTCTCACTTTTTGAAGTTGGTTTTGAAGAAAAGCCCGTGATGAACTACAATCTTTGGGCAGAGGCAACCAGGATGACTTGTGTATTCAAGTAGAAGACGGATTTTTTTAGTCTCTGGCATCCACTGGCTGGATCCTTTATGGCAGATTCCAAAGAGTATCAATGGTGCCCAATTGGCCCATTTGTACCAAGAATTATAAAGCTTCTTGAAACTAGAGACTTGAATTGAGGCCACTGGACAGGACCAGCCCCTGACAAAATGGGGAGGAAATTGGAGTTTGATGTCTTTCTCCCAAATCTAGCATTTCCACTCCCTCCTTTTAAAATCTCACTGTCCCTTCCCATCTCTCCCCCAGGCTCCCATCTGTCTCCACTCAGTGTCATTCTCAGGGAAGGAAAGTGAACCTGCTTGGTTCAGGGGCTTAAAACATTAGGGGCACTTGGCTACCCCTCCTTCGATTCCAGGTGTTCCCTCGTCCAACGTTTTTATTCCTTCCCAAGATCAGCTCTTTGAATTTTTAAAAGGCCTGGATATCCATTTTAACATAAAGAAATAAGTCAGGAGTAGAGAGGGTGGGAAAATAGGGGAATTTTTTTTTATCTTCCAGGTAATCACGTTGGTGAACACCCATATTTCTCAACAGCATCTAGGTCTTATCCAAGAGGAAGGGGGCAGGAAGACTGAGTACAGGAGAAATACAGGTGACTCCATAATCTAGAAAAGCAGCCTTGATGAATTGCAGTCAGTGACACCCTGGCCAAAAGCCTTTTCTTTGATCAGCTTCCAGGCCAAAATCCTTCTCTTGGCTTCAGAGCTGATGCCTGGATCTTTGGGTCAGAACATTGTTTGGTAACTTTCCAAAGAGCTCAAGAGATTATATTGAACACTTGGCCCCAGTGTGGGTCTTTGGCAGAGGAAATACAGTTACCAGATTGTTGAACTGGGCCCTGAAAGCTACTTCTTTCCCACTGCACCAACTCCTACTCATCTTCAAAACCCAAGCCAAACGTAACCCTTCTCTGAGATACCTTTCTGGCCTCCCTCAGATAGATTTACTCTTCTTCGTTGACGCTGCCATGGCCCTCGATTCATATCTCAAGGTGCACACTGTATCGTAACTAGCTCATAACATGCCTCTTTTATCCACTAATCTGTGTGCACTCCTTAAGCTCAAACCAAGGCTGTTGTTGTTGCTCTAGGAGCTAGCACAGTATACAGCATACAACAGATGTTTAATAAATGGTGAGTGAGTGAATGAGAGAATGAATGAATGAACGTATGAGTTCTTGCTCTGCCACTAACTAGTTACATATCCTAGACAACTCACTCATCCTTACTGGGTTCCCCCATGTAGACAATAGGGTTTGTACAGTTTCTCCAACCAACAAGAATATTGTGTGACACAGAAGATATAAGACTATTATAATCATAAGCTCTCAGAACTGGAAGAAATTTGAGAGATCATCCACAACAGTGGTTTTCAGAAATTTTAAGCCAATGAATTGTTTCTTCAAGGAGAGCTAACAGCCCCCAACACATAAAATCAGTAAATGATAAATACAGGCTGTTCTAGCCCCACCTACGGCCCCTTTCCTCTACTCTCCTCCTCTCCCATTTTCAGGGGCCAAGAAGCACAGTTGGAAAACCAACTCTCTCACTTTAGAGAGAAGAAATCGATGTCCAGGAAAGAAAAGGATTTTCCCAAGGTCATGTGGCTTGTTAGAAATAAGAACAGGTGAGGAAAGGGATGAACAATATGGAGCCTGTACTAATAGGCGGAACCACAGCTAGCCCTTTAGAGACATACATCCTCAGTATATACTCACACGTTTTGTTTAAGTCTTACAATAGCTTTGTAAAGAAGGTATGTATGGCTGTGTCGATTTCTGAGATGAGGAAACCGAGGCTTCAAAAGGTAAACTTGTCCAACATTCCCCAGCCAATAGAAGTCAAAATCAAAGTAATAGTAACTATTTTGAGCACTTAATATGTGCCTGTCTGTGTTGTAAACTCATTGCATATATAATCTAATTTAATTCACAAAAAACTAGTGTTATCATTATCCTCGATTTTATATTAGAAAATTGAGGCACAGATTGGTTCAAGGATGTGGGATGCAAACCCTGAGCCAGTTTGATTCCAGTGCCAGCTCTTTTTGCCACAATATGCTGCATCTGAGATCTTGAACCCAGCTGTTCAATCCCCGAGCCCAGGGCTCTCTCCAAAATTACTTTATATGAGAGAATTTTGAAAGGGTTCTAAAATAGCATTCTTGTTAGTTACACTTACTGTATGAAGCGTTATTGACATTCCTTATTCTCTTATTTACACTTGGTGGCTGAAAATGGAAGAGTCTCCTTTGTGTTCAGGGTACTGTTCAGGCTCCATCTAAGACCTTGATTTTGTTCCTTCCGGCGCTGACTTGCCCCTCGACAGAGCCGGTCAGCAGAACTTACCTCCTTCCTGTTGGAACGGCTGAGAAACAAGAAGACCTCCTCCAGGGTGTGGGGCTGCAGGTCATTTATGGCCAAAAGGTGATCTCCGTGAAAAAATAAGCATCCCAGGCGTGGGGGGCCTTCCCACTGGGCCACACTGCAAGGGGAACACAGCATCCGAAACAAGCATGAGACCACGCTCGCTGGCAGCGCAGGACACAGATGGGGACACAGATGGGGCCCCTCCCTCTAGCCCACCCTATTGTTACTACCGCCAGTTTCTTTAGCTATGTTGCACCATGTCTGAAGTAGTGGGACTCCTTTTTCTGTCTGGAATATTCTTTATCACTACTGTTGGAGCCTGAGCCTTCCTGCAAAGCCCAGCTCTAATCATACCGCCGCTACAAAGCCCTCCTACGTTCCACTTGCTTTACTTTAATTAATTTCTCCTGCCCCCAGACTTCTGTTGCACTGCGTGAGCACCTCACTTATTGGTGTATTTAAATAAAACGCATTTTTCATATTTACTTGTTTATGTGGTTATCTTTTATCACCAGGCTAGGAGACCCCAGAAATTTGGTACCACCTTCAAAAAAAATGTTTTTTATAACCCCAGAGCTCCAAGTAAACAAAAGATGTACAATTTGTATTTATTGAAAGTGAGCATATAATGATTATACAATGAATATCTAATGAGTCAAGAAATAAATTAATGAACTAGCACACTCAGGCACGGAGAAGCCCACAGTTTTAGTCAAGTATTTATTAAGCCTTAGATTGTGGGAAATATGGAAAAATGGAAGGTTGTGTTCCTTGCCCTTTTACAGAACTTACAAGACAAGTGGCGTGGAACACTTACATTAAAGGGCTTTCTTCCCCTGTAAATATGCAACCTTCCACCAAAATGAATTACAAGATGAATTTATAAGAATTGTAGAATGAAATAAACAGGGGTCATTTTGAGAAAATTCTCTGCTACACCGTCTTTTGTGTGTGTCCTTGATCAGCAGGGTTTTCGCTGCTGTCTGGAAGTCTAGACCTCGGTATGTCTTTTTCTTTTAGACCTTAGATTCATGTTGACTCCACTAACTGCACTCACTCACAAACACTCATTTTCATTGATTGGGATGATTTCTTTGAACTATCCGTATTCCTTCCTAATTTTCCTCACCTTTAAAAAAATCAGAAATTTGGCCCTTTTTGAACCTCTGGATCCTTCAATACTCACCCACCTCCTCACTGACTCTCCCACACAAAATACCCTTATTTCCACCTCAGTCAGAGACCTTTGTGACAACAGCAACATGGCAGTCTGGGATCTCTTGTCACTTTTGCCACATGCAGGGTTTCAAGATATAATCGTTGTCTTCATATCATCCAACCCCAATTAATCATCTATACCCCTCAAATCTCTGACTTACCATATCCGTCCCACAGCTTCTGTGAGAGACAAATAATTTATGATGTCAGGAGGAAAAAGGAATACGTTCAGCTTCTCCACTTGGCTTTCATCAGGGATGTTACTGTGAGGCAAGACATACGTGAAAGTCATATCAGGCAACTGTCTGGCTTCGAACTGTACTTTTTGAGTAGGCTTTGGCCTCCTACCTCTGAGACGGTATTTTCCAGCTAAAGGTTATCCAAACATTTGGCGAAGAATATGAGTTCAAGTTACTAAAAAGTACCCATTATTGCTTTCCCCCACCCCTCTCAGGAAGTGGTAGGTGGTGGCAGAAAATGGGAAGGGAGAAACAATGGACTAATTGATTACATCACTGTCCTAATCAGGTCAGTTTGCATATTTCTGCTCTGGACATGATGCCATAGAAGAAAACCCTGAAAGTAGTCAAAATTGAGAAGAATCTCATCAAATGCTCTTGGCATCACTTAAAACCTAAATATCCTCCTCCTTGGCCTTAAAAATCAAACCTTATGTGAAGTGCATGCCCATAATTTTAACAGCTGATTGACATGCTCCCCAGATCAGTGTGGTCCAAAGTTCCAGTACTTTAGAGAATTAAAAGAAAAAAACATATATATTTGAAAATGCCACCCACAGCCCAGGAGACTTCTTTGCTTCCAGCTCTGCTACTCTCTGTGCTCAGACACTGCATCAGCAAGAAGAGAAAGCTGGTCAGATTCTTGGCTAACCTGGAGATTTTTAGGAAATGCTTTAAAATTTGAGTAGAAAAGGAAGCCTGCCTAGCTCTAAAGACCCACAAAGTTTTAGAAATTAGAACTTTACTTGATTAATATAGACAATTGCACAACAGTGAGTGAGGCGGTCCCTTTTTTGTCATTCGTGGTCTGTGCCTCCGTTTCGGCAGGTGGAAGATGAGAGTCACTTCCTGAGCCTTGCTCTTGCAGGTGGAGCCCCCCATCCTGGGTCTCTGGGAGGGTCTGGGGTTCTTCTTTGCTATCAGCAGGCTCATCAGTTGTCTTTTTGAAAAAACTAGAGTATAAGAAGTGAACACAAACCTCTTTTCAGCATATCTATTTACAACTTTCCAAGGTATGTGAATCAGATTTAAGCAGCTAACAACCATGTGAAGACTAACAAGGTCTTGAAGTGCATCCAACCATTAGAAACACAGCCACAGTTAGAGTCAAATCCAACAAACTGTCCATGTAAAAGTGGATATGGAGTCAAAATAGCCCCTTACATTGAGCAGGTTGGGAGCAAGTGAGAGTGTGAGAGACATAAGTGCAAACTAGAAAATAACTTCCCCAGGAGACAAGAAAATATCCTGAGGATGTCACTCATGGTTTTCTGTGGGTACACAAACCAAGTCTCACATTTTCTTGTTTTGAGATTATGGAATAATGTGTAGAACTTGGTCTATGGTGATGCTTTTGTATTAATACATCAACAGTAATTTTCTGTAGTACTACATTAGCTAAAATCAAGTTTAAAAATAGGGCAGTTTTCCTTACCAGGATTTCATTGACATGTAATGGTGCTCAATTTTCTTGGAGGCCTCATCTGGACTGCCAGGTTCAACAGGTTCACCAGAATCCGCAGATGCAATAATATTATCCAACTAGAGTCAAGAGGAATAGATGAAAGGATACAAGTCTACCTATAAGCCAGGGAACTCTTTACTCCTTACAGGATGGTTCTGGGCCCTGAAAGAGGAAATACATCTAGCACTGGATGTACAGTGGTGCTTGTTCTGAGGGACTGATCCAGAAAAGCTTACTGCAGATGCAAAGTCTGTCTTCTTCTGGATTACCTATGCTCCCTACACAAGTGTTCTCTTGGACTAAATTGCTATTTATTTTCTGTTTCATCACTAGACACTTAATGAGATTAACTCTTTCTACCAACCAGTGCTACTGTAGAATCTTGTCACCTTGGCTGGGTCAAAGACTAGGACACAACGCAGAGCTGGCCACTGGCTTCTTTGTTCACAGGCAGCCCAAGTTGCTTCAGGAGGCTCTAAGGGCCCTCCCTAGGGTGACTCTCAACTAGCCCCCAGAACTAAGACAGTCTTTTGGGGGCAATGGTTGCTCCAAGTCCTAAGGACTTTTTATTGCCTACCTAACAAATATTAATCATTAACTCATAATTGGAACACTTCATTCTAGTCAAGCCAGCCTTACTGCTACACCCATACAATCTATCTTCATGCTATTTCCTTCACCAGGAACACCCCTTTTCTCTCCTGCCTAATGAAGGTGTGTTCAGGCTGGCTGGGGTCCCACAGCCTCCTTGGACACCTTAGCCACTGCCAAGCTCTCCCTTCTCTAGATTTCCACTGCAGTTTTGTACTTAACATTTTTTTGGTCTTTGGCTTAGTTGTATCTGCCTTACTACATTTTGAATCCCATGAAATACCTAACACATTCCAGTTATACAACTAATGCTCAGTACAACAGACTGGTTGGAGGGACTGGCATAAAAGACGAGTTGCCATCATGACGTTCCCGGGAACACTGGCGTGAAAATATTCTGGTGAAAGAAGGCCGTTGGTCAAATGAGTTTGGGAAATACTGTGTGCTGTATCCCACTTAGCTATTTATAATGCATCGCTGCATGCAAAAGGCTCTGAGAATTCTGCAGTTAAGAGGCTTGTTTAACTTACTTGAATTTGGTGTTTCTGGAACTTATTTGATCCCAGAATGCCTCTTTCGTGTGAACACAGGTCATCCTTTTGTAGAAAACTCCTACTTTGGAAAATGCTGCAGCTTCTATCCCCCTAATTTTGTCTTCCTACCTTCCATTTCCATTCTCTTCTATCGTCCACCTCAACTATAGCTGCTGGGTTAATTCTACTGAAAGATAATTCGCATTTTGCCACTTCCCATCTCAGAAGCCATCATTGCCCCTGTACTGACTACACAATGAAGTCAACTTGCCATTCAAGTTCCATCATGGTTGGGCTATTTTTTCTGTCATATTCCCCACCATGCCATTCCCTCACTCTGTGTTACAGTCTAGCTGAACTATTCACCATATACATATCAGATGGCATTTTCCCTCGGAAGCCTCCCCTGATTCCATAGGAGAGAGATAATCTGTGCTTTTTCTGTTGCTTCCAGAGCTGTTGGACCATGCTTCTTGTATAGCATTATCAAGGGGTAACTGATTGGCTTGTGAGCTCTAAAAGCAGAGTGATGTAAGGTCCTTTACTGAACCATCATGCCTAGCACAGTACCATGCCTAGCCCACAGAAGGCACCCAGTAGGGCTTCCAACTGATTGATAGACTGATTGATACACACCACGCAATTTATTACTTAAGGGCCTGTGCTCATATTACTGTTTCTGCCCAGGATGCAGAAAAGAGTCCCCCAGTCAACCCCCTAAGTACAAATTTTACCTATCAAGTGAAGTCAAATGTCACCTCCACGCAATCTTCCCTGGTCTTCTGTCTGGAAGTCAGCTCCCCTGCCTCTCACCTTTCGTGCACTCTGGGCATTTTTTAAGCATCTTTCTTCAACATGGAGCCCTGTCTGTTCTTGTATCATGGCTCATTCCTATTCAAGCCTTAACACTGTGAGCACATCCCCTGTGTCTGATTCACTGAGTCAGTGTTCCACTGAACCAGCACCACTGAACCAGCCTAGTGCCTCAGAAGTAGTACATGGCAGGGGCTCAACAAGTATTTGTAGAAGAAACAAATGATTAGTGGATGGAAGGGGTTACCGCCAAAAGAACACTTCGAGGACTCATATAATGATTCTCTTCTTCTGTATCTTCAGTGGTCTCCAACAAGAAATCTTGTGGTAGATGAGCTCGTCTGAGTCCTGGAGAACTATTTTCCATTAAAAGCTGAATAAAGAGATGAAGACAGAATAAAATAATTGTCTTTGGAACGGATGGAATTAAACCACATGCATTCTGGGAAAGCCATACTCGATTAATTGTTTTGAGATGATCAGAGGATTTATGAAGGCTATATCCAGAATCCCACACAAATTGAACTTGCCTCCTGAGTCGGAGTCACCAATGGTGGTGAAAAAATATGAGCTAATCTTTCAGGCTTTTCTCTACGGTTGGGACCTGTAATTCAGAACAAGCAGCTCTCTCCAGTGGGCAGTATTCTAAGTCACTGAGCCCTGCCACAGTCCCGCACCCCCACCTTTTTCTAGTTTTCCCCTAGTGTCATCTGAGAAGGTAATTAGCCCAGAGTTAAGGCACTGCAACTTTCCTCTTCCTGCTCAATATTTCTCTTTTGTGTTCTGCTCACATACTTCTATTGTTTTCCCAGCAATGCAATTTGGTAGTGTTGATCATGTGATAGAATGAAGTATAGGCTTCAGGATGAACTGGGTTCAGCCCATTACTGCCTTCCTTCCCCAACAGATACAAGATACTCTACTAAAGTACCAGCTTTGCATAGCAGGAAAATTGTTATAAGTACAACTTAATTCTTTCAAGAACAATGTCTTAGAGTACGGGGCAAAGGTGGGGGTGGGTGGGGGTGGAGAAAGACCCTGAATGTTCTCTAGGAAGTCCTTGAAAGACGGTGACTTGGAAAAAAAAATAGATGCGTTTAAGTTGTATTCCTTTTTCTAGCTCCAAGCTCATGCTGAGTTGGAATGAATACGGGCTCGAACTTAATTTCAACAACAACAACAAATCCCAACCAGGCAGATGGTATTCTTAGCTGGAGCTGATTGCAAATCACTAGATTGGAATACACAATGTGAAAAGGCAAGACAACCAGTGACATTATCTCTGGGGAGAAGGGGTATCATGAGTGAAAATCAAGAAGCATTTACTGAAAAGAACTAGTCTTCCCAACCCTGTTTCCTACCACCTTTCCGACAAACACCAAATGAGATGTTTGGCCTGGTGAGTTTGATAAGCTACACAAAGCTTTTAAAATAGCTGGAGGGCTCCTGACTAGATAAAACAGGAGGCCATGCCATATTAAGATATGCCTGGTACCCAGGGAGAAGGGTAAGCCAATGTTTACATCTCTAAGGACAAAATAGCACTCATGGAAAAAGAGAAAAACAAAACAAAACAAAACAAAAAAAACA